CTTTCTCACTTACTCACCTTGCCGTCTTGTAATACTACCGATTTTGACTTTTGCGCTCACGGGACGCGTTGAAGATGAAGAAAAAGCACCCGCCTGGCGTCGTGGCACTGCGGCGCAGCCCCTGAGGCGCTGGCCCGCCGTTGCCATGGCGCCGGGGTCAGGTGCTCTTTCTCTGGCCGTCCCCACATCTCTCTCGAGGGTAAAGCCCCTTGCGGGCGGCACTGGACTTCCATAGCCGAGCCGTACCCGCCCTCCGCTGCCCGTGCAATGGCCCGTTGGCTGTCGCGTGCCGCGGATCGGATTCACCTCGAGAATTTGTCCCGTGTGTGTAATTGACATGTGCCGGCCAGAGGCCAGGTTTGGGTCTTCGGTCACTTCAAGCACGTGCTTCATGGTGGAGCCCGCCGGCCAGCCCGCCGTTCTCCATTTAGATCGAACCATCTCTGGTGAAGAAACGGGTGGGACATGGCGGCGTTTTCAAACTTCCGTGTCCTGCCATCCCGTTTGCCGTCAATGCCACCGTCCGCTGGCATTCTTCTCAAGCCCTTTTTTCGACGGCCGGCACATGTACTCCCGACTGAGAGGCCTAGTCACATCGCTCGGAGCCATAGTCGGGACAAACTTCAGTGGATTCATCGGAGCTGCAGGGGGCATCAGCAGCCTCGCGCAGCAAGTGACGGACTGCGCAGTATTGGAGTTGGGCGCACAGTGGGCTCCTGCTGCACTACTGCTGGTCGCGACCTTCGGTTTCTTGGTGGGTGTGCTGTGCACGTGCTGCTATGTCCAGCAGTGCCCTGCGAGTCGGGCGCCGCCTCAACCTACAGTGGGGAGGGGGCGGGACTTGGCAGGCCCGCATCGTCGTTGGTCCAGCCACACGGAAGGATCTCAGCGACGTCATGGAGATCGAGGCGAGCGCCCAGCAGGAGGCCGACGGCAAGATCTGGTACCTCTTGAGCCCGGACCTCGACGTCTATCCAGTGCTGGTGGACGCCCCGGACCTGCGCGGCTACGAGCTTCTGGACAACGACGGGAGCGTGCTGCTGAGGTCTGGGCTCCGCCGGGGCGGGAGACCGGTGCACGGCTCCGACTGGGTGCCCACCGCGCTGGAGCTGGTGGACGCGATGGAGGCGGTGGCCCCGCAGGTCCAGCCCGAGCGCAGGATGTCCAAGAAGGGTCCGCTTCTTCCGACGGGGGCAGCAGCGCAGACACCTACGGACTTGGTGAATATAGTGACTGGGAGTGAGCGGCTCCCGGAGGTGAAGCCACTGCGCTGGTACGTCACGGCGGGGCCCAACAAGTCCGAGATCGACGGCCTCTTCCCCCACTCCGTGGTAGACGAGTTCGCGCGCTCGGATGACATGGCCATCGCTGTGGTCGGCACCGGCGTGTACACCCTCAGGGCCCTCGACCCGAAGGAGGGCGTCGTGCAGGTCATCCGAGACGACCGCCTGCTGGCCATGGCAAAGGACAGCAGCGGGATCCGCAAGAAGCTGTTCAGGGACGCCGTGCTGGAGGTCACGGAGAGCCCGTGGCCGGGGTGGCCGCTCTTGGGGCCGCGCACAGCGGCCTGGTGCGTCCGCTTCATCGCGGAGCAGGACAGCCACCCCCGGGCCCGCCACACCAAGTGGTTGCACGAGACGGGGCTCACACAGTCGGACCCGGGGGTGGCTGATCATGAAGTCGCCATGCGGGCCTTCGAGTTCGGTCTCGTGTATGATCAGGTGAACGTGGGAGAGCTCGCGAGCTTCGAGCTTCTGGCCCGGCGGGCGCAGATGGCGGAGTGGCGATACCGCGACCGCCTGGCGCCCCGCCGGGCCGATGAGACGGCGGAGGACGAGCACCTCTACATGGGCACGGGGGAGACGAGGGGCCTCATCATGATGGCCCCATTCTTGGTGGAGCACATCTCGACGGAGCTGCACCGGGAGAGCCAGGTGATGAAGGAGAAGAGGAAGTTGAGGGAGGAGCGCCAGCTCGCGAAGGGCACTGGCGCCGACGGCGACACGAAGGAGAGCCTTCGCAAGAAGGTCGAGAGTCAAGCTGCGGAGCTTCGCCGGCTTCAGCAGCAGGGGGGTAAAGGAGACCCCGCAGGCGGCCGCGATACCGGCGGCCGCGGCGCCAAGTGACAACGCCATGCCTGCGCCTCGGGAGCTGCTACCTGTGCCGCTCCCGCAGGCGCCCTTCGACAGCAGCGGGCATCCCAGCTCGTGCTGTCGTACCGTGCGGTCTCGTCTACTCCGCCACCGGCACGTCGACGGGTGGAGCATGGAGGTGCATCAGGCGCTGAACTGTCTCCACGGACGAGGGGACGCTGATCCTGGATGCCCGCCCACTCTAGGGCAAAGTTTTGGTTCTGACCACGTGCGAGCTGCTGTTCAAAGTATCGGGGCTCCTACTATTACCGGCGCGGCAGCCTTCAAGGAGCTGTGCGCCAGCAAGCCCGGCTACACATCGACGCCGGTGAAGCCAGCCGCCTTCCAGCGCGACCTCGTCGCGCTGCCCTCGCCCGGCGCCAAGTGCGATGGCGCCAGCATCTTGCAGGGCGAGGCGCTCGACCTTTGGGAGGAGCGGCAGCAACGGTTGTTGCGGAAGAGCCCAGATGTCTCCGCCGTGAAGCCGCATTGCGACGCGAAGCTGATGCAGAGCAAGTCCAGCTACGCCCACTTCGTGGCTGACTTGTACGACGCCGGGCTGGTGAAGTTCGGCTCATTACGTGAATCTACTCTTGGAATTTTCTTCGTTCCCAAGTATGATGGGAAGTTGCGGCTTATTTTTGACACGCGTCGGGTCAACCAGCTCTTCGAGCCTCCTGCGCACACGGCGCTGCCTACGGCTGGCTGCTGGAAGGGGTTGCTCTTGGAGCCCAATGACGAGCTGTGCCTCTCGCAAGTTGACGTGGAGGCTTGCTTCTACCGCATGCGTGCACCTCCCGGGATGGAGGAGGTTTTCGTCTTGCCCCCGCTGGACTGCGGTGCCCTTCGCCGACTTCGGCCAGACATCGCCATCGGCGGGGACGTGACATGCTCTCCCTTGCTCATCGTTCTGCCTATGGGTTGGAACTGGTCACTGTTTTTTTGCCAAGAGATGGTCACACAGTGCGTGCAGCGTGCTGGTTACCCGCCGTCCCGTATTATTGAAGACAAGCGGGCGACTCCATCCCTGGTCGGCCAGACCGCTGCCGCGGTGTATGTCGACGGAGTCGCAGTGATTGGCACGCAGAGCGCGCAGACCGTGCAGGACTGTCGTACCATTGCCGAATCCCTCCTCGCAGTGGGCCTGGTCACCAAGGACATGGAGCTGCCACAGGACGAGCAGCCGTTCACCGGGCTCATCTTCGAGAAGGGGTCCGGGCGGATCTCCCTCTCGCGCAGCCGGATCTGGAGGATCCGACGGGCTTTCCAGTATGCCGCCGAGGCCGACAAGCTTACTGGCGTGCAGATGCGCATGCTCCTGGGGCACTACACCTGGGCAGCCATGCTGAGGAGGCCGCTGCTGTCCGTCTTCGCCGCCTGCTACTCCTTCGCGGAGAAGGCCGGGGACATGGCGTGGCGGCCTTGGGCTACTGTACGTCACGAGCTCAGGCTGGGCGCGGCACTGGTGGCGATGGCCTTTGTAGATTTGCGTCGGCCGGTCGCCGCCACTGCGCTGGCTACCGATGCTTCTGGCGGCGCACGGCAGGGCCGCAGCATGGGCCCAGACTTGGCGCCGCCAGGGCTCGAGTCGGCCGCCGCTGGCGACCACGGGGGCTTCGGCGTGGTCAGCCGCGAAGTCCCTCGCTGCGCCGTGGCCGCCGCTCTTCAGCTCAGCGAGAAGTGGAGATTCAAGACGCTCGACTTTCTAGGGGCTCGGGCATCAGCGCTCGGCCTCAAGGATGATCCTCACGACGCTGCTGCGCAGAATCATCCTCCTCCTGTGAAGCATCATCACGTACCGCCATCTGGGATGGGAGCGTATGTCAACGAGCCTTCATCATCGACGTTGCCACCACATCGCTACGTCATCACTTGGGAGGAGGAGCAGAAGTTTTTCGAGATCGGTAAGAGTATATTGGGTTCTCAAGAAGACTGGAAGGTTTGTTTCTATGGACGGTTCAACAGGGCCGCCGACATCGTTATCCTGGAGGGGGAGGCTCTGGTCATGGGGGTCCGCCACTTCGTTCGCAACACTGCCAACCATGGACGTCGCCTGCTGCTGCTATGCGATAACATGGGGCTGGTGCTCGCATCAGGGAAGGGGAGATCTTCGGTGCCGTCGCTCAACCTCGTGCTTCGTCGGCTCGCTGCGATCTCCATCTTCGCCAATATCGATATCACAGTACGGTGGATCCCTTCAGAGTTGAATCCAGCAGACGCCCCGTCGAGACTCCCAGCAGCCAGGGCTCAGGACGCCCGCCTCGACCTCCGCTCTTTCGGAGGCCGCCCTGCACCAGAGCCCGACGATGGCTCGCTATGGCGAGCCGCTGCGGAGGCGCTCGCCGCAGAAGGGCGCCCGCGGCGGCGCGACCCAGGCCTTGCCGGCCTCGGCGACGCCGCGGCGCCCGCGGCACTGGCCGGGGGCTTCGGGCTCCACCGGGGGGGCATCGGCATGCAGCCGAGCGACTCCTCGGACAGCGACTCGGAGTCGGAGCCCACGGCCAGCTCGAGCGACTCCAGCCCCAGCGGAGAAAGCTACAGCGAGGAGGGCGAGGTTGGCAGCCGAGCGGACCAGGACGGCACGCGCCACTACCTTGGTGCAGCCGACCGGGACAGCGCTCACGTACCTGCAGGCGCGCAAGATCAGGGCCTCGCCCAACGTGCACTTCGTGACCTCGTACCGGAACTTCGACAACTGGTGCCAGACGCATGCCGTGCCCGTTCAGACCGCCAGCGAGATCGACAAGGCCATCAGCGAGTACATGGACGTGCTCTACTTCGACGGGATGCCGTCGGACGTCGCGTCGAAGACGATCGCGGCCGTCCGGCACTTCCGCCCCGCGGCGGTGGGCGAGGCCGAGCTGGCGGCCAGCAGGGCCGCTCTGAAGGGCTTCCGCCTGCTCGCCCCGGCCCGCGCGCGCCAGCCGCTGGTCCGCGAGGCGGTCTTCTGCCTGATAGGGTTGGCGATGCTGGACGGCGAGTCGGAGTTCGCAGAGGCCCTCAGCTTGGCGTGGGACACCGCCCTCCGCTTACCCAGCGACCTGATGCAGTTGCGAAGCCCGTCCCTCGTGCCGCCGCAGCCCCGCATGGAGATCTACGCGTGGAGCCTGCTGCTGTACCCAGAGGAGACCGGCCTTCGCAGCAAAGGGAAGCAGTTCGACGAGGGGGTCCAGCTCACGCCAGCAGGCTCCAAGGCGCTCGGCACTGCCCTAACGCGCCTACGGGAACGCCCAGCCCGGGCGCCCCTGTGGGACCTCGACGCCAGGCGCTTCGGCCAGCTCTTCAAGAAGTATGCGGAGATGATCAACCTCAGGGACCCGCACCCATACCGGGTGCGACACGGCTCGGCGAGCTGGGACATCGCCAGCGGGGCGCGGAGCCTCGAGGCTGTGCAGGCCCGTCTTCGGCACACCAGCGCGACCAGCACCCAGCGGTACAGCCGAGCCGCTCCGTACACCGCGGAGCTGGAGCTGGCGCCAGAGTCGGTCAAGGCCTTCGGCGCCGCGGTCGCAGACCAGTGGGCCTTGACGCTCCAAGGCCGAGGCCGCCTGCCGCCCCGCCCGCGGCGCCCCGACAAGCCGTGGTGAGCAAGAGGCCAGCAGGTGACACATATCAGCCCAGTGATTCCTTGCCCCTCTCATCCCTCCGCAAGCGTATGCAGAAGTTGTTTGATGCAGCCCGCAGAGGCCGCAATCGTGCTCAGGTGTTTCTTGATCTTCTCGCCGGTGACGGCAGTGTGGCTAGCAAAATTCGATCGAGTACTGAATATGGTGTAGTCTCTATCGATATTAGATCTGATCCGTGGCTTGATTTGTCTGACATCCGTCTCGTTCGTATCCTCATAGGGTGGATCGGATGTGGTGCTGTGCACGGCATATGGATCGCGCCACCTTGCAGCACCTGGTCAGTGGCCAGCCGTGGTAGATACAGATCTCCCCTTAATATTTACGGGCACCCTGATCTCGATCCCCAGGGTCTTGCCCGTGCCCAGCTCGGAAATGTTCTGTTGAAGCACTCCCTATTAATAGTCACCGCCTGCCTCAAGAGAGGAATGCCTGTTGCACTCGAGAACCCTATGTCCAGTCTGATGTGGCAAGAACCCCTATTTTCTCACCTGCTCACCTTGCCGTCTTGTAATACTACCGTATTTGACTTTTGCGCTCACGGGACGCGTTGGAGAAAGAGCACCCGCCTGGCGTCGTGGCACTGCGGCGCAGCCCGTGAGGCGCTGGCCCGCCGTTGCCATGGCGCCGGGGTCAGGTGCTCATTCTCTGGCCGTCCCCATATCTCTCTCGAGGGTAAAGCCCCTTGCGGGCGGCACTGGACTTCCATAGCCGAGCCGTACCCGCCCTCCGCTGCCCGCGCAATGGCCCGTTGGCTGTCGCGTGCCGCGGATCGGATTCACCTCGAGAATTTGTCCCGTGTGTGTAATTGACATGTGCCGGCCAGAGGCCAGGTTTGGGTCTTCGGTCACTTCAAGCACGTGCTTCATGGTGGAGCCCGCCGGCCAGCCCGCCGTTCTCCATATAGATCGAACCATCTCTGGTGAAGAAACGGGTGGGACATGGCGGCGTTTTCAAACTTCCGTGTCCTGCCATCCCGTTTGCCGTCAATGCCACTGTCCGCTGGCATTCTTCTCAAGCGCTTCTCCTCCCTCCCCTCCTCCTTGTAAATGTTTCCGTTAATGATCTGCTGGTCACTTCAAGCACGTGCTTCATGGTGGAGCCCGCCGGCCAGCCCGCCGTTCTCCATATAGATCGAACCATCTCTGGTGAAGAAACGGGTGGGACATGTGTATATGTGTGTATGTGTGTATGTGTGTATGCGTGTATGTGTGTATGTGTGTATGTGTGTATGCGTGTATGTGTGTATGTGTGTGTGCGTGTGTGCGTGTGTTTGTGTGTGTGTTTGTGTGTGTATCTAACCTAGTGTCTTTAATTTAATCCTACCCCACGAAAGTCCAAGCTTTCAATAACGTATCAAATGATAAGCAACCCGCATGCGTTTATTCTTCGCATTCGATTCGGATTGCTCCCGCACAGAAGCATACACACATACATATATATATATATATAGAATAATATATATTATAATATATATCTTACTATAGATATTATTAATATATATATATATATATATATATATATTGTGTGTGTGTGTGTGGTGTGGGTTGTGTTTGTGTGTGTAATGGTTTGTATACCTGTACATACTTTAATATATGATCTAATATGTAGCAGAGAGAGAGAGAGAGAGAAAAGGAGAGATAGATAGATATAGATATCTATGATTTATCACATCACTATTCTATATACTATATCTATAGTTCAATGTAAGCATGGGTCGGGCCGAGACGTATTTGCAATGATATTTTGATTGTGGGGACGCATAACGCACGGCGGGCCCTCGGTGACTCTCAGCGAGCTCGGCGCGCGAGCGATGTACTCTCTCTCTTGGCAACTGATCTCTCATTCTCTCTATTATTTTATATATAATATCTATATTATATATCTATCTATATATAATCTATATATGCTGATCACTTGTCGACGTAATTCTCGCAACGTCCCCCTTTTCGCTTTGTATAATTAATTGGACACCTGAATATTATTATAACTATCTCTGTCTATGGTTTCATGTCCGCTTAGACCGATATGAATTGATTCTAGCAACATATGTTTACATATAATCTAATATCTTAACTATCTATACTCTCTTTCATGTACTTTTATATATACTCCCTCTCTACTACATTATCTATCGTATATATATCTCTCTATATATATATCATTGCAATATATTCGTATGGAAAGCCGTATACACTTCCAATCCCGTTTTACAAAATAATTAATAAATTATCAGATTAAAATCGAGCCAGAATTATTTTCGCATTCTAATAACAAAAGAATTTGGTTTCGAGGGATTTTAATTTGTGATTGTTTTCAATTAAGAGCAATTCGCAGCACAGTAGTAAAAATCATGGTGTTATTACAGTAGGCTTATAATTTACATATATGTTTTGCTGTGTTAGCATGTTTGGTTTGTTTATTGTGTCCCCATTAATCCGAATACAATATTGGTTCGATAAGTGTAGACGTGTGTCGATTCTCGAAATTGATATGTGAAAGTTAATGCAGTCACATTCATTGTGTGTAGTTTCTTGGAATTGTGCAGTTGTTATGTTCTGGAGATCATGCGTAGGTTTTAAATTATTTCTTAAGGAGACAAAAATCAGTTCGACAAGCTGATTGGAAGAAATGCAGAGCGCGTTGGCAGAGTGCTCGAGTTCGAAAGTTAGTCGTGTTCGCACATAGATACATTTTAAATTATCTGACAAGATGCGTGTGTGTACAAATTGGTCGTTCGGATGAGTTCTAAAGCAGATTGTGTATTTTCGAGTTGGTAAGATGTCACGATAGTCAAGTTAGAATCCGAGCAGATTTAGATAATATTTACAGTTTTGGTTTCATGCATCAACAGTTACGTAGACAACACGATTTTGTGTAAGGTTAGTTGATTTCAGCATATTCAGTGTTGATCGAACGTTCATGGTGATAGGTTTCGATGGAGGTTGACAAAGCAAATTGGGGACCAGCGCCCTGTGACCCTGCGGCACCCTGCTTCATGCGGCGCTCCGGCGCTCAGCGCGGCACGTCCCGCACCCGCTCGCGGCGACCGCGACAACGAGCTCGAACGCCCACGAGCGACAACGACCGGAGATGGTGAAGAGTTGCAGTTTTGTTGTACGAGAACAGCCCACCATTCCGGGAATCAGAGAGATTGCGCATAGCAGCGCCAGAGGCGATGCCAGTACTTGAGACATATCGATAAACACATTCTCTTCAGCGATAGAATTGGAAACAGGATCAGTTTTGAACGAAGATTTTGAAATTTGTTTGCATATGTTCCACGAAATTAAATTTTAAGAAAATTATGAGACGAATCGCAGCAAAATCGACGGGCGAGCCTAATATCTTTTGCGATTTTTTTTGTTTCAAACATCGAATTCGACGTCTTGAAGCTTGTGATTGCAATTGAAGGTTCGATACGTCCAACGAATTGATGATCGGCAAATGCTATTGCGAAGTTGTTACGGACGAACGACGGACGAGCACGTACATGAGCCAGTTCATTACGAACAGGATTTTTGTAGAAATTGATTTCATTTCTTTCTGACAGAGATTCGTCTCGAACTGGGAAACCAATTTTTTGTCGAATTTTGATCTAAATTTGCGAATTCGTGATCGAAGTTTTCGTGCCTATATTCTCAATGCTGTAATTCACTTTGCCGCTGTTCGAGGCGATAAGGGCAGGAATCAATGTTTTTTTTCGACAAGATGATTCTCGCCGGGCTGTTCCTGGGAAGCCCGCGCCGAACACGGCGCTGCCACGCGAAGGGCCGGTGCCAGGCGTCAGGGAAGCGAACCCCGCACCTGATGCAGCGCCACCCGGAGCCGCCGTCGCGCCGGGGGCTGCTTTGCTGGGGGACACACCCGCGCCAGGAGCAATCGCAGCGAATTAAGGCGACCGTCGGTCGCCGTTATTCCCGGAAATGCCGGCAGAATTCTCGAGCCCTATCAGAATCCTTCCAGAATCCTCCCGGTCCTTTCCGAATTCCCCCGTGTTTTTTCGGGTTTTCCCAGGGTCCCTTTCTCAGAATATTTCCAGGGTTTTTTTCGCAATATCAACCAGCGAAGTGCGCTCTCTTGCAGAAGAATGATGTTGAGTAAAAAGCCAAGCTTCCTGTAAAGTTTCGAAGCGAGAAAATTTGGGGTGATTTCGGGATTTGGATTTTCGAGATCGGCACAGATTTTCGAAGTCGTCGAGGGTTCGGGTTTTCGAGGTCGCCCAGAGCGCAAATTTGGAGGTCGCTCGCTAGTGGTCAGATTTTCGAGATCGCGGGTTTGGATTTTCGAGGTCGTTCAGTTTTTGTAAAGAGGTGCAGATCAGCTCCAGTGGTCCAGAGCGCGTTTGTCCGCTAAATCTGATTTGTTACACAAGTTGGAGCGACAACATTCATTTGTATTATGTTAATTTTAGAGAAATAATATGTGTTCGTTTCGTCGGATTTGTAGATAAAGTTGAAGGCAATCGAATATATTCGTTTAATTATCGAGGCGTTTGGATTCGGATGGTGCATTTGTAGACGTGAGGATTGTGATCTGTTTGGAGAACATCAATCAATCAGCAGAAGTAGTAAGAATGCTTGTTTGCGGTGCAATCCGAGTCCTTGCAATCTAATAATATCTCGGGGTGTCGGTTCCTCGATGTGATGAACAGCGAGGTTTTCAGGTATCCAGGTATTGCAGTAGGTGCAAGTGAGAAATTTGGGCATCCATTCGTGATTCACGCTGCTGTGAAAACTTTTGCATTGTCATCGACGGATTTGTCAATCATCGTAGCAAGTTGGAAGTTTATCGCGTTGCTTTTGTTTGTGCTTTATCAAGAAGTAAGTTCGTTCTTCGGTCACACGCAGCCAAACGTCATTCGCTGGATTACGCCGAGGCATCGAAAACCACAAAGCTGCAAACCTGATTTAGACAATGAGTGAGACACATAGGGGAACAGAAACTGTAAACATTGTGTGCAA